GGGGTAAGTTTTGTAAGATGTTTCAAATATATTTTTAATAAGTGTGGATGAGTTGTGTGTAGGTTGTGGTATAAAGGTTTTCTTTGAATTAGTGTCAACTTCTTTTGTTTTTTCTTTTATATCAGTTGGTTCAAGATAAGAACATTTCAAGTCTGTACAGGTAAGTACATGATAGTTGGCATGTCTAAAAGTTTCATGACATCATTCTTGAAGATTAGTTAGTTTTATAAATTCAATATTAGTTGGCAAAAGATTTTTTAGATATGAGATAAAATGTTGTCTAAATTCATATTTAAGGTAGTTGGATATTTTGGTTTTGTTAATTGTATTGGAGAATTGTCAACTATATAATAGAAAGGCTTTTTCAAACCATTTATTAAAATGGCCAAGTGAGCTTTTAAGTGATGGTATATTATATTTGTCAAAGAAAAGAGATTTTGAAAGATTAAAATTCAGTTTGATATTGAATTGGTTATCTATTTTGATAGAAAGATATTATTGTTCTTTGTTAAAATCAGTAACCTCAAATGTTATTTTAAATCTTTTAGATCTAAGTTTAATATCTTCAGCAAATTTTGTATAGTTGATTGCTTGGTAGTGATATAGGGTACAAGGTCAGGAACGGCACTACAGGGACAAGAAGGAATGCGACGAATTGTTGTTTCGAATTCGTCAATATCGCATAATGTCGCTCAAGGCAGGTGAGGCAGATTCGATTTGGCTCTGGTCTATGGCAGCCTTGAGAACATTACCAGGGGAGTTTAAAGGAGCATATTTTTATTTATTTATTTATTTTATTTTGACAGTTAGCAGTTTATTAATAAAAACTTTATTTATTTTATAGGGCAGTTTACAAGTTACAAGACGATTCGGATTTGTAGAGGCAGAAAGGTACTATATCTCATATATCTATATGTATATATCTGGCATCTATAGAGTGGGAGGCACACTTTTTATAGAACATTTTGGGGAAGAAAAATAGGAACTTGGGACATGGCTTTGACACCCTTTTTCTCATAGTCATAGACTACTTTTCCCTTTTTTACTAACACTCTTCTCTTTTTCTTACAATTCATCCATCATTACCTTAGCATCATCTCACAACAGCATACAATCCAACATATGATGATGCATTGACACAACCACAGACTTTTCCTGTCAAGGTAATATTACCTTGACAGTTGGATTCCAAATCGGGCAGGTGGCTTTTTCTTCAATATATCGGGACTATCACTTAATGAGGAGCTTGATTTGTCTTGGGTCGCAGGTATTGTGGTATGACGGTTTTCATAGTGCAGATCATGGTCGTTATACAATGTTTCCTCAAGGTCCTAGGGTCGAATCTACCCATAACAGTAGTTATTAGAAAGATATAAATATAAGTGAGCAAGATTAAGACAAAATTGTAGACGATTTTCAGTTTTAATTAGTAAAATAGTTGCAGAGAAAGCAAATATTTCAGGATAATTAAGTTTTATGAAGAAAACTGTTATAAATATATGAATAAGTTTTTTAAGACTTTCTTCTAAAATATTAAAGAGAATTGTTGCAGCTTTATCTGTTTCTGAGTTGTGTTTTTGGATTAGGTCAATAAGAAATTTTGGTTTGGTACCAGCCATTTGTCTAATCAACAAATAGAAACTAGTTTTAAGTACATATTTAGTTTCTGTAACTTCTTTAAGGACTTTAACAAGATAAAAATTATATAAGTATTCTTTAAGAAAATTAAAAAGTTGACATGATATCTCAGTTTCTAATTTTATATAATTTTGCATTTCATCAATAACTGGAAAGTTTGCTAACTAGTCAAATGATGGGTTAAGTTTGGGTCTTGCTGCTTGACTGTAGGATTGTTGTTATTTGTTGTTATTTGTTTTATCTGCAGTAGTAGTAAGAGGTATGAGTTTGGAAATAAGCGGATTTTTGATAATAGATTGTTTTTGATATAAGTTTTGTTGTTTTTGGTTAATTTTGTTATTTTTGTTTTGTTTTAATAGTCCTAAGAATTTTTTGAAAATTAAAATTTTCTTTTCTTTAGATACTATAATAAGTTTAATTACAAGAACAGTTTGGATTTGTATAGAAGTGAGTGTTTTAGTTTGAATAATAGGTTTGAGTTTGAGTTTATGAATACATTTAGGATGTGCTGGAAATCCTTTAATGATAAGAATAGATTTGTCAAGAAGTGAATGTGTATTATTTTCTAGAAAAGCACATAAGATGTTTTTATTTTGACAAATAATATAAGTATATGTATGATGAGAATGTGCTTGAATTTGAAGAATTTGTATTAGATTAGATGAAGTTCCTTGTTGGGTTATAGAATAATTCAAAGCGAAAAGTAATAGAGGAATGATAGTTGTTTTTGTAATTGGTGATTGAGGAATAATTTCTTTGAATTGTCTAACTTGTTTAGATATAATATCAATATCCATATATGTGGATATTTGAGAAGAAAGAGAAGGAGTTACTTGTCTAAGTAAAATGTTAAGATTACTAGAAATAAAGAGAGTATGAAATTTTTGACAATAATAACAGACAATGGTAGGTTGAGTAAAAGTTTTAAAGTAATGAAAAGATTTAGCAATGTTATATTCAGATAGATTAAATGCAAATGGCATTACTTTAAGTTATATAGGTTGTACTTCTTGGATCATTGTACTATAACAATCATTGTACTTGTTATAGAAATAATCAAGATCAAAATGATCTGACTCTTGGATGGTCAAAGTAGGCATTCTGTTTGATAAAAAAGAAAAAATATTACAAGTATACTTAAGGATAGAAGTTAATATTACTTAGTAAAATTTTTTGTTATTAATTGTTAAAGTTTTTAATATATAAGATTTATAATAGTAAGGGTTGGTTTGACAAGGGTATGATGTAATATTGCAGCTATTGTAGCTACTACGATTTTGTGTAACCTTGAGAACAATTTTGTGTAACCTATATAGTATAAGGTGTGGCTGGCGTGACAAGTGTGACTTAATGTAATAATTTAGTTACACATCCCAAAAAAACCTTGTAATAGTGTACAAAGTCAAATTAGTAAAAGAAGAAAAACTAATAAAAAATTATATGTTATTTTAAGTAATATTAATTAGTTTATAATGAAAACGATTGTAGTAATGATTTAATGTTATATAAAAATCTTGTAAGAGAAAAAAGGATTGAGGTAAATAAAAAAGAATTTTTTAAGGAGTTTATAAGAGAGTTAAAGCTATTTTTTAAGCTATCTCCGTTAATATTAGATCTATAAGGTTCGTTTAGACCTTGTTTTGATTGGAGAAATGAGTTCTATAACTTTTCTTAGGATTATAGAGTGGGTTGTAAAGCTAGTTGTCGAGAAATAATTGAAGAAAGAGTTAAAAACCCAAAAGCCGTTATTACAGTATTAAACTGCGAGTTTGAGAGCTATCTCTTTAAAATTTTTAGAATATATGTAAAATTAGTAGCAGAACAAGTTTATTTAAGACGCGAAAGTTAGTTATCTTAATAAAATAACCAGATATTAACGATTTTAGTACTGACGAATTTTTAGTTATTTTTGTGTAAAAATGATTTACAGAAAGAGTCTAGAATTTTTATTTTTATAAAAACTTTGATTAAATTAATATTAATTTCTTGTTTTTTATTTTTTTTAATAGTCTGCTAAATTCAATAATTTGATTTTATTTTTTATATTTATTAGTTTTTAGATAAATTTAGATTATATTTTTTATAATGATCAGTAAGACATTTGCAAAAAATACAATAAAATTGCTCTTTGCTTTTATAAAAATTAGTTTTGTATTAATGATATTTATTTAAAAACATTGTTATCTTTAAAAAGAAAATCTTTCCTAGAATTGATTAATTATTAATCAACTTTATTAATAGAACCTCTTATATATTTGATCTATAAATTTTATCTGTTAAAAGTAATAATTATGTGTTTATTGCAAAATTTTGCATCCCAGCATAAATAACATTACTAGCAATTTGCTAAAAAATAGCACTATTTTAGATGCTACAAAAATTCACTGGCTCTGGTGTATGTGTAATAGTTATTACACGTTTTATCATAGATATCATGAAACTTTACGGGCCAGGCAAATTATTGTGACGCAGCCACAATGATGCATGATAGTGAGACTGATTCTGGATGTTTAATGATGACGACAAATACATGTGGGAGGTACCAGCAGAAACCAAGCAAATTGTTTTTAGTGAGTTTTTTTTAAATTTCTAAATTAAAATATCTCAACTATCAAACCAAACTTGGTAATTTTTTTTAATTTTACTTCTATAACTATATAGAATTAAAATAAATAAAATTTTATCAAGTTTGATTTAATAATTGTTGAGATATTTTACTTTAAAGTTTAAAAAAATACTTAGAAACAATTTGCTTGGTTTCTACTGGCACCCTCCATGTAATAACTGACTTATCACAGATCCTAACATCCATGACTTTATAATTGTTATTTTCACTGGAACTTTCACGGCTTTTCTTCACGGTAAAATAGCCTTCGTTTTCTTTTAAGATTCCTTTATTGTTTACATTCCTTGTATATTGCTTACTAACAAAACTTTTTATAAAATTTTCCTAATACAATCTAAAAACCGACAAAAAAGAAAGTCCACCATGAAAATATCAGTAAAAAAGTCTTGTGTGAATGATTAGGAGTCGTGTAATAAGATCGCATATCACAACTAGAGCTCGCAAGTGTACTATTAAAACATAGTGCTCATGCCTGGCACTTAATAGGGCACTTGCAGAAACCCTAATCACAACCACACGTTGTGCTACAACGGGTTGCGATGGTCGTAACATAATTGAGGTAGCACTGCCATAAAAATATTTGCACCTTTAGCCATTCGCTTGTTTGATATTATGGAAGGACCGATCTTTGTTAATTTCCTTTAGACCCTTTTTCTTTGGTGTATACTTGTAACTGAGGTATAACGCTCTTTATGTCGCTCATGAGAGAATCTCAAATGATCGTTGGTTAATTTCCTCAAACATCACCCGCATCAGTAGAAACATTCTTCATTTTTAATGCCTTCTCAGGAGACGAATGCGTTGATTAGTTTCGTAGTCTCTTACAAATGCATACATTTTTACCTTTCCCAATGGTATGCGTTAGACAGTGTCGATTGTACGTATAAACATGTGTTGTGTGCAGAAAAGTAATAGGTATATAAAAAACATAACATTAAGATAAGAGTAAACAGATGAAAACAAAAGAGAAATATTGATTTATATAAATGAATATTGGATCAAATATTTAGCATAAGAATGGTAAAATACAAATATCTATGTTAAGATGCGTTTGTAAATACAAAGTGAAAAAAAATAAGATAGGTATCATAATTACACAACAAAACATGCTGTTTTTTGAACAAAAGTTAAACTCAACGTTTCCAGCCCTGTTGTTACTTCGAATTAAACGTTGACGCTCGGATGAAGTATTTGCAAGATTAACATAATTAAAAATACCAAATTTCATTTGATACATAGCTGTATAATGAAAAATTCTAGAAAAAATAAAAAGAAGAAAGCCAGGGAAAAAAAAGCCGAATTGGAGGTAATAGCTGCTAGGTAGTGAATCATAGCTATTGCTAAGACATAAAAGTGCAGTAAGAAGAAAGGTAATTGATTTGACGTTCTTATTTGTTGACGTGAGACAAACAAACGCGGAAATGAAGATTAAAAGAAAAGTAAGCATGGACCAAACAGAATCTTTTCCATGTTTTATTTGCATCCTAAAAACAAAAGTGTGAGCAAAGCTCATTATACATAACCAGATGCCGGTTCTTAAGGTCCAGATTCCTGCTGGATCAGTATCAACGCTCCGGAAATGCCAATTGAACCAAATAAGGAACACAGATGATAAAAACATAAAAATAAATAAAACATACTTAACATCTTCACAAGATGTATCAGAAAAAAAACATGAAAGAATGATGCTTGAATAAAATCCAAATTGAATTACAATATCATCAACTGTACGGAATATACGAGCCGCTGTGTTCATGTTGCCAAGTTCATAAAAGATCCATGCAACAAGAGATATAACTGTCACATCATTGGGAATTGGAATCGAAATATCATTAAAAGCCATGACTTGAGATATGAGTGATTCGAAAGAGTGAATAGCGCTTAAGATGTATGATAAGATAATCTCGGAAATAGCTTTTTTTAAATCAAGATTGAGGACACAAGCGTAGAAATTGGATTTTGCAACTTATAAAATGTTCTGAATGGAAGATATTTCCTATTAACTATGGTCCTGCTAACAGTTTATTCAGATATTCACTTTTTTTAAATCTAGAATATTAAAAAATTTTATTCATTTTCATCTCAAAATTTTTTGGGGTTTTGGGGTACACCGCGATTACTTTTAACGAATTAGCTTTCATTAGGAACACAGAAAACCCACAGACCTCCAAATAAAGGAGTCAACATAAACATATAAACATCAATGTATAACGATAAATTTTCAAATTGCATGTTTTTAATTCCTAATTTTGGTTTATCGCCTGAGAAAAAGATCGTAATTGTTGTCGTTTTTGGAAAATATGGCATTGAAATTACCATTCTAATAATTTTTATTGCAGTACTTTTATCTAAAAAAAAAATTCATATTTCATAATCAAAAAAAAAGCAAAAAATTGAAATAATTCAAAAAATAAACGTTCGTATCTCAATGTTTTACCTATGAGGCCACCTTCTGCATCCTAACCAAAATATCTCTAATAAAGAATATATATAAATTAAAAATAAAAACTAGATCTAGTATATATTTTACAAAACTACTGCTTTACTTTTTTAATTATTTTGGCTTAATTTTTTTTTAAAAAAATAGAAACTTAGTAAACTTTTTTAAAAAATTTATATTATTTATCTATTTCTATATGGGAAATTATAGACGTCTTCTGCGGGATATATCCCCGTTCATTTCATCGACAATCAATTCACCAACAAAGTAATTCTGGTCATTGCCGTTAAGGACAGGTTAGAATTAGAGTTAAGGTTGATGTAATTTATAAAAAAAAAACTTTCATGTGATATTTTCAATTAGATCATGATGATAGTATTTATTATCAATATTATCATAATTGATCTAGTAATTGTTTTTTTTATTCTTCGATTATTTAAAGCGAAAAGCGACCGTTAAAAGCATAAAATCTAATAAACATACTATTCTAAAACCATATGTTAATTGCCGTAATCAAATTTCCACTAACAATACATGAAAAAATTAAAATTAATCAAGAAGTGCAATTGCACCAGAAAACCTTGTAGATTTTATTTTTAATGCTCTTCCGGAAGATTATAACTGATTATTTATTTGAATTCAGTACACAACGAAAAAAAATTATTAAAGAAACCATAATGAGTCCAAACAGTAACAAATGGCTCGATAGTATTAGGGTTATAATCATCTTAAAAGGCAATGGAATATTCCAAATGCTTAGAAAAATCGTAATCATAATACTTTCTGGCTGTAATAAATATTACGTTTATTGTTATTCGAAATAAATAAAAATGATTAATTTATTACTTATCATTATTATTATGTTAGTCTAAATTCTTGGTTAATTTTTTGTTAAGTTACATGTGCTCGATATATTTGTCACGCGATGTTCGAAACTTTTTGGGTGGCAATTTTAGCGGGTTCAAGAAAACCTTATTGTTAGTGCACAAAAGATATTTTTTATACTTTTTTTTGAAAAATAGGTTGTTGTTTCTTCAAACTAATACGGTGCAAAACATCAAAATAAATCATATTCAAAATTTTATATTGAAATTTGACATTTTTTGAATTCTTGTATTTTGAGTTGTCAAAAATTAATTAATAAAAAATATTTTAAAATCAATTTTAAAATTAACCAATATTAAGAAGTCAAAACACGTAATATGTCTTATTTTTGTTTAAATTTTTACATATTATATAAAAATATTATACTTTTTTTTTTAATGTTTAAGTAGAAACTTTTTTACATATAGAAACATAAGTTCTAAAATTAAAGATTTCTAAACTATATTTTTGTTACTATTTGACACCTAATGTGGCATTACACCCTTATTTTCTATAAGTGCTATAACTAGTTATTTCAAATTAGTTTCTAGCTAGGATAGGTTGGAAGAAACCTTCAAGTAATTGTCTGAACATTAGTTAATACAAGTAGTTAGTAAATGATCCTGTAAGAGTTATTTGGTAATAAAAGAGTTGTATTAATAGATTGAGAAGAAGTTGTAATATTATTTAAAGAGTTAGTTAAAGTTGGTAAAATAATTTTAATGTGTTTGGATTTTGATGTATTATTGCAAGATTATTCTTATTGATATTAATATATATAATAAATAGATCAGAAATCTTAATGAAACTAATTTAATAAATTGTTTAAAAGGTAAAGTAAAAAAATATCTGTTTGTTTATTGATGAGTATTTTGATATTATTATAAGTATCAATAGAAAAGGGGTTTTTTTTTTTTTAACTTAAGCAGTCACACTAGTACTTTATTAAGATTCTTGAAATTACTTTTGTAATTACATAGATTTATCTAACAACTAAGTCTAGCATCACCCGGCCACCCATAGGGTACCTAAGTGCAACCTGCTGCACTACTTCTAACAGAAGTAGGCTACTTGTTTAACTACTTAAAGTCCATAATAAAAGGGTCTTCTCCCTTTCATGACAAGTCCCAATATTGTCTTCTTACTTTCTTTATTAATTTTATCTTTTTTCTCTTTTACTCATTTCTTTTCTTCTTCAATCTTCTGCTAATTTGCCTTTCCTTTCTTCTTTGGATTTTTTTTATTTACTTCCTTTTCTTCATTTTGGTTGTTATACCTTCTTTTTTCTCACATTCATTAATCTTTTTACACTATATCCTCCAAACCTGTTCATAGAATGTGTCCCATACTGTTTTTGTCACTGTTTCTATAAACTGCTGTCTTTGCTTCATATTTAGAAGCTATGTTAGTTTGTCTTGTGTTTTTTTCAGAATCAGACCTTTTATTAATGTTTTTCTCATCTCTATTTCTTCTGTTTCATTTTTTCTGAAGAGTGCTTTATATAGTACATATAGTGGAATGTGAGTTTTTTCTTCTTTCTTCAACCCTTTCTAGGCTGTTGTGATAGTCACTTTTTGGATTCATTTCTACAGACTCTGTTGTCCTTTATATAATGCTAGATGTGACTGTGTTTCTTTGACTTTATCATAACATACTTGACACTCTGTTGTTGTATATATGTCTGGCCTTCTTTTATTTAGTCCTTCTAAGATTGGAAGTTTATCTATCATACACTTTATAAACACACATTTTCTTGTACTACCTCTTCTTATTGTGCAATGCACTCCTTTAGTTATTTTTAATCTTTTTTAAAATTGTGTCCAATCATAAATTATGACTTCTGTTTTCGGTTTTAACTTTTTGATTGTATTTGTTTCTTTCCATTCTGCTTCTAATCTTGCATTTGTTATCAATTTGCATAACAATCTTGCAGGTATGTCAGTTCATTTGTTTTTTCACTCTAGGCAGTACTCTATCTTTTCACAACTGACTTTCTTTATTTGTATTATTTTCTTACTTATTGTTCTCTTCTTTGTGAGACTATTAGCTTTGTCATTTCATTTGTTTTTGCTATGACTTTTAACTTTCACTAACTCTATCTGTATACTCTTTGTGCTAATAAGATCTATAATCTTCATTATCCATATCACCTTTTTCTTTTTAAGAACTTTTATTCTATTTATTTGCTTTAAACCTCTGCTAATATTTCTAATTGCTACATTACTGTCTGTATATATTTTTACTTGTTTTTCTCTCAGTACTGTTAGGATTGCTGCCTATATTGCTACTAATTCTGCTGTTGTTGATGTCATCTATCTATCTAGACATAATGATGTTTCTTTTTCTGGCCACTTTTGTATTTCATTTGCTTGGACTCATTCTATGCTCATACTATTGCCTTATGTTTCTTCTTTGGTCTTTATGTTTGTAGTCTATCTGTATATATAATATATTTGCTTTTATTTCTTAATAGGTTTCTTCTTAGCATCTTCAAAATTTCATGTTTGATATTTTTGTTTAGTTTCTGTCTCTTGATTACTTCTATTTCTAACCTTTCAAGTATCATTAGTCCTTTAAGTTGTTGCTCACTGTCTTTCAATCTTTCTGTTTCTGTGTTTTCTATCAACTGATCCATAGTTATCTTGATCTTGCTATTTCTTTTTTTCATTGATATATCAAGAACTACTCTAATCTTGTTATTTATTCTTATTCATTGCCACCAATTGTCTTTTTTCTGTTTTTCTTTTTCTGTGCATTCATTACATCTGCTAATTTCTGTTACTGTTTCATTCTTTCTACTTTGCATTTGCCAATGCTCTAGTAAAATCTTTTTCTTCTTCTTCTTTATTATCTTTTCTAGCTGTTTATCTTTTTGTGTACTATATATTATCTACTCTTTTCTTCTTTTATCTTTTGACATGACCCTTCATACCATTTTTATTACTTGAGTATTATGTTTGTTTGTCTTAAAGAGTCCTTTAATTCTTCTGTTCATTGGTTCTTCGAGCACTTTGGACTCTATTTCTTTAAACCATTCTGCTTTTTTTTCTTTACTTGAACATTCATAAAAGTTCTTAAATTATTGCTATGTGATCAGCTTCTCATCTTTTATGTCAAGCAGTTGGTTTAGGTAAATTAGATCTGCTTCATTTATCTCTATTCCATTTCTTTTCTATAACTGTGTTTCTAAAAGTTCTTTTATTTTAGTACCATATCCAAATATATTCCAAAGATTAATTTTTGTTCTTATGCTTATTTCTAGCTCTTTTGCTTTTATTATTGTCAGACATGCTAAGTTGTTCTTCCATCACATTTTGTTAACTGGTACTTCTTTTACTTTCCAAATATCTTCTGTTAAACCTGCTCTTTGACAGCCTTATATAATTCTTAGCTTCATTAACTGATCTAGGCTGTTTTGTCTGTTTAATCTTGACAGCAAGCTATTCACTTGCTTTATTACTAGCTCTTGTTATAGTGTTCTATACTCATCGAGATCTTTATGTTCTATTATGCAATTTTTTATTATTCTTTGCAAGCTG